TTGCTGTGAGCCAACTAATTCTCGAAGATCGTCATGTGACGTATCGAGAGATAGAGGCTCTATTAGGCATCTCAGAACAACCATTCAGAAGATCTTGCATGAAGCGCTTGGTGTGAGAAAGCTAGTTTGCCGTTGGATAACGCATCTGCTTTCCGACGATCACAAGGCGGCCCACGTCAGATAGTGTAAGAAAACTCTGCAAAGGTTCAACCGAGGAGAGTCAAATCACGTCTACGACATCATCAGTGGTGACGAATCTATGCCTACGATCCTGATTCCAATCAACAATCTACAATCTGGTTCTTTCAAGACGAGCCAAAGCCGACTAAAGTTGTTCGTTCTCGAAGCACTGTAATTAAGATGGTGGCTACGTTCGTTGGGAAAACCGGCCATGTTGCGATTATTGCACTTGAAGATTGTAGAACGGTTAACGCAGAGTGGTATACCACAGTTTGTTTATTACAAGTCATCGCCGAACTTCGAAAATCTAACTCAAAGCGACGCGTCATCCTGCACCACTACAACGCAAGCTCACACAGCGCTCGTCAAACGATTGAGTGTTTCAAGCAGGAAAAAGTAAAAATTCTTGACCATCCTCCATACAGTCCTGACCTAAGCCCTAACGATTTCTTTACATTTCCTAAAATTAAGAAAAGTCTTCGTGGTCAAAGATTCCAGTCCGGTGAAGAAGCAGTCGTAGCTTTCAAGGCAGCCATTTTGAACACCCCCACTTTAGTGTGGAATAAATGTTATAATAACTGGTTTGAGCGAATGGAAAAGTGTATTAAGCTACGTGGTAAATACTTTAAAAAACAATAGAAAGTACTATAAGGTTCTAGTTGTGTTTTTTCTTCAAACGACACACACATTTTTAGTTAGAATGTTTGGAAAAACATGCACTTCAAACATAATATTCAGTTTGTCCAAACATAATATATTGTACGTTTTTTGTTTTGTTTTAAGAACTTTGAAGATGGCTAAATAGTTAAACAAATAAATTACTTGTTAAACAAGATGTACCAGGTACTGTAGAGTATGCAAAACGATGCAGTATGCATTTCTTTGAATGAATAACCAACGAACCCTTGGAGTCCACAAGAGGTTCAGCACGCGGCTAAGTCTGTCGGGGTTTATCTATAAGTAAAACCTCTATAGAGTACCCCTGAGATCCCAGCAAGTAGGACTTCAACGGAACACCGTGTGGTTTTAGTTGGTTCGAATCCAAAATATCACCTTGCCCCGATAATTTGATGGGGATGTCTACAATCCATAAATAAGTTGGTACCTATAAAATACGGAAAAAACAAAAATGTATATTGTGTGTTTGTTACAAAAACTTAACAAAAATAACTTTTTATGAATTTATTTTTAACGTTACAAACGTCCATACGATGTTTGAGTTTTATAGAAAACATTTTGGTTTAGATAGGTAAGACAGACAGGATTATAGGAAGGTCTGGATTCTCTGCGAAGATTTCCCCTCTGGACTAAGAGTATCTGTTACGTCTACAGGTTGATACAGATTCAGGGGCATCATTTGAAAAGACAGTATGCCGGACAAGTGTGTCTGTATGACACAACCGCTCGTCCGGCATACTGTTTATACTGCATTATAGTTTTGTACTTCAATGGCTTGTTGTGATAGAAGTTTTACCGCTGTCGCAAGGGTAGGTATTATCTCGCAAGAGTCGGCAGATTATCTGATGCCAATAAACTGGACGGTGGCGGTACACTTGCCCCCAGAGAAGCAACTTTAAAAGAGGGATATATTGATGGATTAAAAAGTTAGGTTATGAATCGGTGGCAAGTGGCGGTTCGACTTGCAATAAGTATATCTTAAATACCAGGATCAAATTGGAAGAAATTTGAGAAGATACCCAGTTCCATTATGCTTTCGTGGTTACTGAAAATTGAGGCTTTTAGTTACGTCTGTAAATAATAGCGGCCGTGGCTTTGTTTTTCCTTATTTGCCCAAGGCACTATCGTGAACTTGTCACAGGACTGACTGTCTATTCAATACTCTTGCGGTGGTTCCAAGACAAGTGGTAATTATTATGGTATTCCGCCTACCTCATCGCATCCATCGTATGCTGGTCTGAGTTTCTCTACCGAGTCCTAACTTTTGTACCTATACCGATTTGCGATTCCACTGTAGGACACGTTTCCTCAAAAGTAAAAAACCCGTCTATCATTTTCATTCGAGCATTGAAAAGCATTTGGAGCATTTAAATAAAAACTTTAAAGAGCATGGGATGCTACACGAGTAAGATTGTTGAAGGTGACTTAAACAGAAATATCTGTCATATAAAGGTGTCATATGTACATTTACATTAAGGAGTTCAGATAAGGATATGGAGAACGAAGGACAATCATCTCTCAAAAAGTGTCAAATTATGATGGCGCCAAAATTGTTTATTGAATCGTGTAGAATTAAGGCAAGCGCTGATATTGAATCTATTAATAATTAATTAATTATATAATAAAGTACTTTAACTCAGCAAACACCACTCCGTCTAGAACTGCCATGTTAATTTCATTTCTTTTTGGCCAGTGCCATTCTGGTCGGTTTTAGAACTATTTATTTTTTGCTTTTTACTGGACACTTTCGGTTTGCTCTCTACATACAAGATAGTGCTCATTACCTCTATCCTCCAGAGATAGGCCTTTTATTTTCTGTGTGTCTCGGGTACCAACAGCCAGGGAACCAGGTGAAAGAAAATCCCTGCAGCGCAGCGGGTCTCGCCGGCCTGTTTCTGCTAGGGTGACAGATGGCCTCACCTGTCACCCCCAGGCCTGCCCAAAAGTATCCTTTCCCGGTGATCACCTGCGTCAGCCGGTATGAGAGGATCTCGTGATGGCGGCGGTTGCCCAAGTCGTTCCTTCCTCTCCTCTACGAGGACCTGGTGGAGTTGGGATTTCTGGTCCCCGATTTCTCGAGTCTTGGGACCCCGGCTCAACTCCCGCGCCTCCTTGCGCCACTGATAACAAGCCGCAAGGGCTCTCGCCTCCAGGTCTCCCGGTGGAGTTCCGACCACGAGATTCGCCGCTTCGAAGGAGATCGTGCGGTACTCCCTTATGACCCTGATGGCCAGATGGCCTTCTGTTGCTGGCCTTCAGGGCCCCATAAAGGACCATCAAATCAAATCAAATCAAATCAAATTCATTTTTGCAGAAAACAATGTTACAATGGTTTTATGAATACATAGTTATGTTTCAAGTGATTCTAGCTTAAGGCATGCAAAATATATACAATTATTACTTACTAAAATCAAGATCGACATCGAAGTATTTAAATCAAATTAGATTACAGTATTTAAGTATTAAAAATGAATGTAATGTCCTTATTAAAATTATAATGATAAATATTAGTTATTTATTTAATAATAATTAGATTAGTTCTATGTCACTCCCTTAATTATTATGTATTAACAAATTAATTACATTTAAAAGACACACAAAAGGTCTCAGGATTGGAAAGATCATCGTTCAGATAGTCATTCAACTTATAATAACACTTATTAGCTAAAAGGGTCTTTAAATGTTTCTTAAATAAAGTAGTATTCATTGCCCTTATTTCTTTAGGTCATTTATTGAAAATTACCGGAGCCATGTGAAACACACTTAATGAAATAACTGAAATAACTTTTGATTTACCTTAACAAATATTGAGACCTCATAAATATACAGGCTTAGGAGAGTTAGAATTTTGTACTCCTTGAAGAATGGTTTACAGGTTTCGATTATTTGAAGCCCAAACATAGCCCTTATGCACCGTTTTTCCGACCTCGGAAATGATGTCAGAAGTCCCATCGGGCAATATCGGGCCTAAGAAAATCAGAAGGTATTTGACTTACCTAACCTTCAATTTAGCACTTTATTGTGATAAATAGATATTTTATACCAGGTGACTGAAAAAATCATCGCTAGTAAATTGAATATCTACCCCGTTTTTCAAGAACCAAGGAGAATGTAATTTTATTTGTTTTATCTACTCGTACGTCGTGTGTCGTACATGCATAACTTGATAAGTTATAAACACTTTCTAATGAATTTTATGATTTTTTTAAAATGTTTTTATTCTTGTTTGTCTGTTTTCCTTATTTTTTTAGTTTTCTTAACCCTTTGCTTACAATGACTTCTGTTAGTCAGGAATTAGAAGTGAAAACCAGTAATTGGCTCTCAGATGATTAGTTGTGTCATTTTTACTGGTGTTTCTGGCTGTAAGTTTTCCTTTTATGAAATATATAAAAAAAAAGACGTGTGGCACTCGGGGACTGCCGCGGTAAAGCTATTGCATAGCATTTTGTATCAACTTATGCAATTATAATTATTTATTTATTTTATTTATGCAGTATTTCTTTTTCTTTGATATTAATTCAAGTTACACTTTTTGAGCGTGGTGACCGATAAGAAAACAATTTTTTTTCTTTTATTAAATAAAAATATTGAAGCATATATTACAATTTGTTTTTAAATAAATAAATAAAAAATATTATTATTAAATCAAATTACATATCCATGTAAGATTTTTCTGCATTATGTTGACGAAATTTCCTTTGACGTTCAGCATTTGATTTTGGTACTGTTTTTTGTTTTGTTTTTAGCGTGAGGTTTTTTTTCGTTACGGAATTTCTGGATTCGGTCCCCGCGCTCAAGGCCCTCGATAGAAGCTATGCAATAGCTCAATAGAAAATATTACAGTGAAGATAGTTTAATTCGATGGTTTGTCCAAATATTTAGACGCCGGAGTTATAAAGTATGTACGTGAAATATATGCCGTAGACATACTGTTTGTAAGAGTAGATATAGCAGACAGGCGCTTGCAAACATTTAATTTTAAGATATTGACCCTGAAATTGTATGGATTGCCACATTACGTCAATGAGTCTACAAAACTTCTTAACGATATAAATAGACAATCGATTGTTTAGAGGTCAGTTGCAAGCGAACTTCCTCTCAATACTTACTTAGTGAGGAATCATTTACATCAGACGTACAACATGAGGGTGCTTTTAGTAGCAGGTGTTTTGTATCTAGCGGCCATTTGTGCCGCTTACGAAGCAGATGATATGGCGGTCGCTGCTTCGCACCACAAGGGCCATGGCGGTGGTGGTGGCGGTGGCGGTGGCCATGAACATCATGAACATCATCACCATGAACACGGTGGCCACGGACATAAAGGACATAAAGGACATCATCACCATCACAAAGGCGACCATGGAGACCATGGTAAGCACCATCACGGCGAGCATCACCACGAACATGGCGACGGCCACAAGAAGCACTGGGATGAGCACGACCACCATGGTGAACACCACGAGCACGGCCACCACCACAAGGGGGAGAAGCATGGCCACCATGAACACCACGACAAGGGTGAGCACACCGATGGCTACCACAAGAAGTACCACAAGGATCACTTCCACAAGGACCATCACTTCCACGACGGCCACCACGACGAAGGCAAACACCACAAACATGGCCACCACCACGGACATCATGAGAAACACGACGGTGGACACAAGAAGGGCGGTCACCATCACTCCGGACACCACGAGGGTCACCATGGCAAACATGGTCACCACGACAAGCACCACTATGACGAAGACCACCACGGACACAAGGGACACCACGGACATGAGGGCCATCACCACCATCACCACGATCATGGCAAGAAGGGTGGACACGAGGACCACAAGCACTGGGGCTTCCACCATGGCAAGCACTGATTGTACAAAGTGTACTGATTGTTATAACTTACTGTTGTTGAGAGTTCAAGTTGTTAGTGCTGTTTTTTGTAATTTTATACCAAGTAAATAATAGATTATTGTATATTTCCTTTTTTGAGTTACGTATTTAAATTCGGTTTAACATATTATACGCATATTTTTATAAATACTTGTTATGGTTAAAGGTTATGGCACTAGCAGGTGCTCCTTATAATCAAGTGCACCCTTGATTGAACTCAACGATTGGTAAAGTATTTGCATTTATTCTAAATCCAATTGTGTTCTGATCCAGTTTAAAACAACCAACAGATTTGGTAATAGGTGCGAAGAGCATAAATAAAACTAGTCTCGTATTTTTGTAATCTACTTATTAATACTTGAAAAGAATCCTGTGTACTTACACATTATTTACACCAAAAACCAAACAGGAATGTGTTTTACATACCTACTTAAATTTTCAATATACTATAAAGTAAAAAATTATGTAGAAACGGCCACATAAAGTTCTAAGGCATTGAAAATATTGGTATATTTTCACTACTACCTACTGTCATGGCACAAGAGTCTTTTTCTCTTCTTCAACGAGAGTTAAACTAAATAAAACATTCAATACCATTAAAATTTGAAGACCGGGCGATCTCTCTCTTTCTTTCTATCTGTGCTGCGCAAATCTACTCAGATACCCCCTATACGTAAAATGAAGATGTTTTTTTGTTTCATCTTGAGGTAGAAAAATTACGATTGTATTAGGTAACAGACTGAAAGGAAAAAGTATTACGGCTAAGTTAGCTATGCTACTAATAACTTGTTAAATTTTGTAAAAAATACAAAATCCTTAGAAAGAAATTACTTAGACACAATTGTTACTTGTTTAAAACAGGTGATACCTAGTTAGTAGTAATCAATTATGGAACCGTACATGTATAATAATACTTAATTATTTAACTTTTTATGTAGTAAGCAAAAGGGTCGACCTTTTGTATATTACACAAAAGTAAAAACCCTACCTTGAAGGGTATGTTTTTCAGGGTTAAAAGGGGGTATAGAGCAAAGGCGGGCGGTGGATGGAGATCACGAGTTTCAGCTGATTCTCCGTTTTCAAGGTGAGGAACGACCTAAGTTACTATCTGATAATGTAGTTTTCCATAGATGAAAGAATTTTTTAAATCGGTTTAGTGCTTAAGCACTGAAAGCGTAACAAACAAACAAACAAACTTACTTTCAAATTTATAATAGAACTATAACAGTATATATAAGTAACTTCATGGACATTAAAGTATAATAAGTTTAATGATACCAAAATACCATCTTCATACAAACAATTTCTCAATCTATATTAAACATTAATTGGGTGTTCCATACTAATGTTCTATACATGTCTAAACTAGGCCGCGCCTTTATCTTTCCTATAGATAAAGGCTCGGGCTTGTTTATACGTTGCTTCCAAGGAATTAAGTATATTATAAATAGACAAGTTTATTTAATCTTAAACTGTAGCTAGACACACAGTAATAAAATTTGTGTAAATTTCACATACTTCGTGATAATTAATATTGTCTAAAATCCATTTTGATATTTTAGTTTTACAACCTGGCGGTTCGCTACCGCCAAATGGGCGTACCTTTTACTTTTTAATACATAATTACTGTCCCTGTAGTAACTAAACGGTCATATATTTTGACTAAGGTGAAGAGTTTGTGAAGTTGGGGCTCTACATGAGATCTGATAACTTTTTGACAGTGCAAGCCATTATGGTCTTGTCTTGAGAACGATCGGTGCAGCCCATCATCGAACCCATGCTCCGACATCTCCCTTTCAAGAGAAGAAGAACCCACCATCGCCCATGGTCGTCTGAGAACTTAGCCTCGAATAGAGATAGGAAACTTATTGCCCGAAGAGAATTTTAATCGCCGATTAATTTATATAGAATTCCATAAATATTATAACCATAATATATAATAATGTATAATTTTTGAATGTAAAATATTAAAGGGAATGTTAAGCCTTTGTGGACCGTTGTTTGGATAGCTATGATCTAAGTCATCATAAGGTTGTTTTCATCAGATCGCATATTGTGGTAAGTGTTCCTTAAAAATCTTCTCCCAAAAATCAATTTCATCTTTGTCAGGTTCGAACACAATTTTTAGCGAGTTGCCGATGTCCAAATACTCTTGCTTCTCTAAAGTATACGGCATCCAGTCCACTCCGAGAGATTTGTCTGGAGTCGGGTTCCTGGAAGAAATAGTTTGTCGAGTGTTATATGAATGTTAATGACAGGTCTAGTCAATTGTTGGTCTAGTGGTTAGTGACCCTGACTACTAAGCTGGAGGTCGTGGGTTTTATTCCCACCCAGGATAAATATGAAGAAAGAGAAACTAAATTATTTTTAATTAAATAAAAGCATGCATCATACACATACACACACGCCTACACACACCACAGACCCCCCTCCCCCCACACACACACATATGCATGTATCACAACCGACATGTACACACATGTATGTACAACCGATATACGAACAGGGGCCCGGCACTGTAACTATTTATCACACGCTGCTCAGTAAATCTAGGAGTGCAGCACTTAACCCAAGTTTTAGTTAACATTGTGTTAGTTGTCATGCTCGATGTTCAATTCTGTGTTAAGCAAACAACAGATTTTTTCATATTTAATATAATGTGTTATGTGATTTTTTCATGGTGGGTACCTCATCATCATTATCAACAGCCTTTAACAGTCCACTGGTGGACATAGGCCTAGGAGGTTTTGGTCTACTATAACACGCAGGCCAGACGGGTTGGTATAGGGTTTGTTTTAAGTTTTCTTTCTTTTGCAGTGCTGTTGTCTTACGTAGTTTGCTCCCTCGGTCGGCTCTTACGACACCTACGGGATGAATAGGGGTGGTGACACTCCGTATTCTGAATCCGTCACTACACGGACGTTGGTCGGGTCACCTGATGGCAAATGACTACCGCCGGTCTTTGGTTCTAGCCAGCCTGCAACAGCCTTCTAGCCAGCCTCCAGGAGTCGTGGCAATAGAAGCTTTCTCCAAAATTGTCAGTACGATTGTACTCACCCATATTTAGCGAAGTTGGTCCAAAGCTTACAAACTCTTTCAATGATTTTATATGTTTCCGATGATTCATCCACTTTCCCAAAGAAATATGGTACTGGAAAGATGTAAGATAAGTCATCGCTATGACACATGACAGTGCCATCTGGAATCGCCTCAGAAACGAAAACACGACCACAAATATTCCTCTCTGTTAAGCAAGAGAACTTGTAGAAGTATACTTTGTTCTTCTTTGAAAACTGTTTTGCTGTAAAGATGATACCGTATGAGATCATGTCAATTTGCATGAACTTCTTTAAAGAATGTTCTGTCACGTCTTTATCATTGAAGTAGAATTGTCTCATTTTCCTTCCAACTTCTAATTGGTCTTTTGGGAGACAGTAAGTTGCAAACCATTTAGGTACAAAAAATTCATTACTATATTTAGCCTTCTCAACCATCTCTTGGAGAGTGCACCCAAAGACCAAAGTTATTAGACCATCATCTTTCGTATAACCCGTCATGATATCAACACCTTCATGCGCTCCGTTTTGTAAAGCTTCTGTCAAATCACCATAAAAATACCTCTCTTGTCCAAAATCTTTCTCGTCGACTACCGAAAAACAACATTCATATGGTTTTCCAGACTTAAATAAAAGTAATTTTAAATTAACAAGAGATTGAACAGGTTGTTTTTTAAAGAATTTATTTAGAGTTTCATCATCTTCTGAGTAGCATCCTAACTGTCTGGCCAGTAGAAGAGCTTTATGTTTTGAACCGAAGTCTCCTGCCCACCAGCAACCTGCTGCTCCACTTTGACAAATAGCTCGCCGAAAAAGCCCTCGGGTCATTGGCGAAATCAAATGATAAGAGACGCAACCCGCTCCAGAACTTTGTCCAAATATAGTGATATTATCTGGATCTCCACCGAAATTTATGATGTTATTCTTAACCCACCTAAAAGCTTCTACTTGGTCTTTCATTCCTGCATTTCCAGGTATATCTGGTGTATCGAGACTAAGGAAACCTATCGCTTCAAGTCTGTAATTAAAGGTGATTAGGAGAACTCCATGTTTAACGAGGAATTGTGGGTCATAATAATCATCATCTCCGCTCCCATATACATAAGCACCCCCATGTATAAATATCATTACTGGTAACAGGTTCTTGGGTTTAATGTCTGGTGTGTAGACGTTAAGGTAAAGACAGTCTTCGCTCATCGTATCTTCACCATCAATAGGAGGTTCACCTGAGCATCTTTTATACTGATAGCACATGGGTTTGAATTTAGTGGCTTTACGTACGCCAGTCCAGGGCTGAAGTCTTTGGGGGGCCTGAAATTTTAGATAGTTTTAAAATATTTTATAAAGTTGTTGTATAAAGAGTTGACGAGCAGGTATTTGTGGGCTCCGTAGAGTACGTAGTGTCCTGATTGGTAGTATGCTGGAGAAGCTGAGTTCTTCTCTGTGTACCCTGATCGGAGGTAAGGCGTAAGGAAGTGAGTACAAGTTATATTGAATTCTGGTCTGAGTTTGAGTTCGTTTGAGTTTTGTAAACCGAAATCAAATTGTTACCTTAAACCTAAGATCTCCAACTGGCGGTTGAGCATATGGAACACCTTTGAAGCTGTAGAAAGTACCTCCGTACTCATTCTGAACCTCCTCCCCCTCTAATATACCCGCATTCAATTGAACCCGCACCATGCTCTACTGCTGAAGTGGACAAGGTAAAAATAAATCATGAGAGCTAAGTATTAGTAGCAGTTTTTGTTTAGGAAATTTCGAACTGACTTCGACGAAGGAGGCACTTGACTTGGTTGTGTTTTTTACGTTTATTTATAAAAAAAATTGAAAATTTACTGAACAGTAACTCTTAAATGATGAAAGACCAATCAGTCTTTGGGTGAAAATTAAATAATAAAGAAAACAGTTTATTGCAATCAATTTAA